TACTTCGGGAAACCTGATGACCTCATCTGTAGCAAGTTGGGCTGTTCACCCAAAAGTCACACCTGTCTACTAGTTCAAACCCGCCAGCAACTCTGCAGGAGAAAATGAGCCATCTCCTACTGTGTGATTTAAAGCCTTGGAAAAGCTAGTGGAGGATCAGCAATGAATTATTAGTTCCAACTGGGTCACAATGAATTTTTGAGTTTTGAGAGATTTTAAGGGGTCAGTTCACACGTAACATGCACATATTTTTAGAATATTTCAAAAGCAAAATCCTCAGGAAAAAGGTTTCAGGTGAATTTTGAGCAGGTCTGTAAGTTGATTAACTCAATATATGGCCCTGGCTAATGAGCTGCATATACAAAACATCATTAGTGATTTCTGACCAGAATCCTGGCTAGGGTTTTTTTTTGTTTTTTGTTTTTTAACCAGCCAGAATAATAATTCCTGATTTTATAAAGGAATATAAAATTACTCAAATTCACTCTGATATGTGACAAACACGTAGTTTATTTTTTTTCTCAGTTTCAATAATCTCTTTTACAGATAATAGTATGTCAATTTCTGTAGTTGGAACAGCTTTTGTACAGTTTAAAATTGTTGCTTCAAATACCAATTTATTATTTGGCTCAGTCTTTTCAACTAATTGCTTGAACTCTCAGAGTTCCTGTCAACCCTCCTTTCTCCCAAAGAGGTGTTTGGATATACAAGGATGAGGTGGAGTCTTGAAGAAAGTAGTCTCTGAATATTGGTACTATTCTCTGGACACTCAGATTTCTATAGTAACTTTCCTGGTCTACCTCACTGGCCTGAGCTCCCAATATTTGCAGCTGAGTTTGATGATAAATCACCTCCTGATTCCTGCTGTCAATGCAAGTTGCAGCTTGGTGGATCTCTTGGGTTTAGGCTCCTTCACATAACCCTCATTGGTTTTGGGGTTTCCCAGAGCTTCTCACAGATACCATTTGGTTTCCTCTACAGTTAGTTTATTTCACAGAGTTATCTTCATAGCATATCCTTTGGAAAATTGAGACTTGCAGGCCTATCTCTTTTAAAAGAATTGAGATGATTTTAGGAATGCTTCATCCTGACCTTGTGTTCATATTTTTAGTATATAAACTGGATAAAACAAAACAAACAAGAAACAAATGTTAGTGTGTCCGCATGTCATTCTTACTGCCCCTCTTTCTGTCATATTTCTTTGGTTTGCTTTTTATCTGTATCTTAGGACAAGATAAGAGGACTTTTTCTTCCTTTTCTTTGTCTTATATCCTATTTGTAGCTTAAGTGAGTAACGCCATTTTAACTGTCACAAGTAAAAAGGGTTTATTCTTTGGATGTCCTTCAGAAAAGCAGTGACAGCAGTGTTCTCTTAGCTCTCGTTGATCTGAGGCTTTGATATGAGACCACTAGCCTTAATCTCTGTAACATAAAGAAATCTGGGGTGGAAATGCTTCTTTTATCTGTTGATTTTTATATGTTTTATTGCTAAATCCCATTTTGAATGTTAACAGTATTGTCCTTACATTGCCTTTATAACCGCCCTAAGTTTATGTTCTATCTCTTTCTCATACCCACACAACCACCACCCCATTCTAGCAAAGGCTCAAGGATGAAATGGACAGATCAAATTCATATACATGGAAATAGAAATGACAAAAAAAATAATTATTTTTAGGTATGCATTTATTTGGAATATATTATAAAGTCAAGTAAAATAGTGGTCATCTTGTAGGTTCTGCTAGGCTAGTGGCAAAAAGCTGTGCTGTAATCCTGAAGGCACATGGTTTAAATCCACCAGCTACTTCACGGGAGACGGATGGGCAGTCTCCTCCCATATGATTAACTGTCTCTGAAAATCCGCCAGAGGGTCAGCTATGGGTCAGTTCTGACTCAATGGTGCACAATAACAATAGTACCGCTGGAACACAAGTGAGTGGCTTTAACAAACAGAAACTTACTCTTTCACAGTTTAGGAGTCCCGAAGTCTGAATGTATATGTCAATTCTGGAGAGGGCCATGTCTTTATGAGTCTACTGGTTCTGAGACTGTCGCAGCACAGGCACCTAGGTCCAAAAGTATGTTCCATATCCCCAGCTCACTCATTCTTCATTCTCTCTCCTCTTCTTTCCTGTAAGAGAAAAGGTCTTTTAAGATCACATCCTGATCAAGCTCCCCTTACATCTGACCATAACTGTGACTGAATTAATGGTGCATTTCACTGCTAATCTTTTTAGACCAGATTGGCTTTTGAAATCAAGAGATAGATCATCACATAACTGAGACATTACATCATAACTTGCAAAATGCTGGGCATAGTGACCCAGCCAACCAAACTCATATTTTCAGGGGACACACTTCAGTCCAAATGAGGAGTTTTGAATTATATGTGGTGTTGAGTCTCTTAGAAAGTCTTTAGTAATTTTTGATTTATCTTTGTTTGCCTTCAAAATAACTTTAAATTTGAGTAGTATGAGCATTGAGCTTTACGAGGACTTCTGTAGTTCTGTAATGTTTTGCTGTCCATTGCCATGGAGTGAGAATAGATCTGTCCCTCTTGAGATTTCCAAGTCTATGAATCTTAATTGAAACTGACTGCACATATTTCTTCTGTTGAGAGACCAGTGGGTTTGAACTGTTGACCTCTCAATTAGCAGCCAAGTGTTTAACCATTATACTACCCAATCCACTACCTCTGAGTTGATTCCGACTAATAGCAGCCTTCCACGGGGGGGGGGGGGGAATTACCTCACCTTTCTCTCACTGGAGGTGCTGGTGAATTAGAACTACTAGCCCTTTCAGTTAATACAATGCCACTAGGGCTGGCAAAATTATACCACATAATGTAAAGATTCATTTTGAATTTCAATTTACTTTTATTTACTTGGATTGGCTCATTACTCTCTCTCTCTCCCTTTTTTTTTAATTTTGAAGACAATGATTAGGTACTAGTGTGTGTTTGACTTGCTGCTTCACATTTCAGCTTAGGACATTCACTGTAATATTAGTACAATAATTAACCACTTGAATGGTCACAAACAGAAAGGTCTGCTGTCCAGAGCCACCCAGAGATCTGTTCTTGCAAATAAGAGAACCCTTAGGGACAGGGATGTTCTTTCAGTTGGGGTTACTGTGAGTCAAAAGAATACTTAACAATAATTACATGACACTAGTTACATATTTTTAGAATATAGCCTTAACTTCAGGAGTGTTGTAGAAGACATGGACTGGCAAGGTCAGAAGCTGTGTGTGGTGGTCCTTGGAGCAGCTGAATAATCTTTCTAAGCCAAATATTTGCTGTCCCCCCACATTTCAGTAAACACTAATGTTGCTCTTATTGTATACCACTGAGTTGGAAACAACTCATAATGGCTGACCCTCCAGCAGGTTTCAAGAGTGAATTGCCCATGTATCTCCCCAAGAGCAGCTGGTGAATTCAGATGGCATGATTTGGGCTGGCAGAAGAATTCCTTGCCACTAGGTCATCAGAGCTCCCTGAGCACTAATGCGACTACCTCTAAAAACCTCTCACTGCTGTCAAGTCGGTTCTGATTCTTCCCTTCCACTGCATTTCTGAGACTGGTAATCGCCACAAGAGAAAACTACCGACCTTCCCACCCATCCCCACCCCAGAGTTGCCACATGGCCCTTATGTTAGCACTGCAACTTCCTACAGACTACACCACATGAGCTCCCTAATGAGATACCCTATTATAGACGACATATTGTAAGATAAGTGTAATGAAAGTAGCTAACCTTTGTTTCTCAGTTGCTTGTTTGGTTCTCATCAGTATCATATACAACTGGTATCTGTTTTAAAATGCCCATTTTACATACTTGGAAGCTAAGAGAGACAAATAAATTTCCCTAGATCGTTTGAATTTTAGTGGTGGATAGCTTGGTGGAGTCCGACAGTTTAAGTCCAGAAACTTCTGTCTTCACCACTACACTGTTGCAGAGGAAAATTAATTTTTTTGTTTGTGTAATTATGTAGACAGATGAACTTGGTAAGGATCTTATGGGAAAATGTATGTGAAAATGCTAGGAAACTGTGTAGCATATTATATGTCATTGCTATTTACTGCATTTTTTGTTTGCTCCTAGTTCTCTTGCATTTGATTTATACTTTAAAAATGTATTTGTTTTAGATTCCCCCCCCCCCACTTTACCCATTTGGAAATCATAAACCTATTTGCAATCACAAAATTGTTGTTCCATTTCTTAGACATCCAAGTAACATGTACCCTAAAATTAGAGACACAAACATCTGATACTATTATTTTGTATTTGAAACAGTATATAAGAAAATATACACTATTTAAGAAAATTATAACGGCTATAATTATCATGTTCTTGGTATATATGTCCTTTTATTTCATGCATGAAAAGGAGCAGCATTTTATGAAAGAAGATAGGAAAGAATATTCACTTGTTTTGTTAATAATGTTCTCTAATATAGAAGCAACTATGTATTTTACTGGCCAATCAAATTTTAATTATGTCAGTTTTCACTGAACCTGGCTGCCAACCAGCACTCAAAGGTACAAATTTTAAGCTTCTACGTTGAAAAGGAAATTGCTCTTTGCAATTTAATGTTTGAATGTTTTAAGTAAGGGACCACACACTCCGCAGGGTGAGGTGGAGACCTTGAACTGTGGCTGCTACTTCCTATCACGGGCTGCTACTGCTACCTGTTTAATAATTGTCTTTGGCTCCCTGTAAACCTGCAGCCAGAAAGGTATTTGAATTTTTTTCCCTCCTCTAGCACTTGCAAATCCGATTTTTATGTATAGCTAAGTGCTCTTAGCTTTTACTCTATCCACTACTTGTGCCTGGTTTCTAGCCGGCCTGTAACTAAGCCAGATCCGGCCTATGTAATGCTGTTTGTAATGAGAAATCTAAACAGGGAATGGCAGTGAGGCATGGCAGGAATGTGTTTCCATTGGAGAAGTCAGTGTAGAGAAAAAGTATAAGCAAAGCCATGTCCAGAAGGCCTTTTCAGCTGGCCAAGACGGAAGACTAATGTTATTGTACATAGCCTGTTACCCTGCCAGCCTTCCCTCACAGATTTGCTTTCTCTCCCTCTGCTCCCCTCCCCCTCCCTCCTCCCTTCACCTCTTCCCTCTCTCCTCCCTCTCCCTTTCTTCGGGCTCTGGGACTGTTTGCTCAGGTGGACAGTGACACCATTTGGAATGAGCTGCACTCGTCCGGTGCTGCACGCATGGCTGTTGGCTGTGTCATCGAGCTGGCTTCCAAAGTGGCCTCAGGAGAGCTGAAGGTGAGGTCTGGGTTGCATTAAGTGTGGGAAATCCCAAGAAGAAGCTGAAACAGAGCTGTTGTTGTTGGGGAATTGTGAGGCGTGTGGTGTGGTAGTAAAAGGAAAAGGGCGGAGGGAAGGGGTCACAGAGATGGCCACTAAGGTGTGATAATAACTCATCTGTAGGTAGGTAGTAGCTGATCCTCCTCTTTGGGCCCTCCTCTCCCCAGGAAACTGTGTTTAGGGGTCTCTGGTGTGTTTTTAAGAGCATAGAGGTGGTGAGCAGAGCTATGGTCAAGTTAAAAATACTCTTTGTGTATATACATATCTGTCATGCTGTCCTGGTATTCTCTTTTGAAGCAATCTAAAAATATGATTACTGAATCGTATGTATAAGCTCAAAATACCACCCAGAGAGAGGTGGGGGAAGAAAGGTAAATACCAGACGGGAAGAATTGGGAGGAAGAAGGAAATTGTTGATTAGGAGAGTAATGATCCAGAGTGTGTTTTTCCATGAAAGAACTTCAAAAATGAGCTATGCTTTATTGTTCTTTTCTTTTTATGGTCTCTTCTTTTCTACATCATATGAAAAGAACAATGTATAAACCCCAACGTTCCCCAGTCTAAACAATTTATAAAAGCCAGAGACCTGACAGACGTTGACATTTTATTTGGTATTTTAACAGTGCTATTTAAAGGTATGCCATGTGTGGCTTGAATGCAGTTACCCCAATAAACTTTGTTGGTGCTAACATGACTTTTTAATACACTGGTTCACACACTTCATAATGCAATCTGAGTGGTGATTGATTTGGTATTTTTAGCAATTGTGGGGCTTTAGGGAAATATATCATGACCAGCAACATATGCACTGCGAATTTTGTTCATCTAAAATAAAATCTAATTAGCAGTATTTTTCTTGTGTGTAATGAATTTTTATTCAATTACACCTGACTACTTCACTTGTGATTAAATATGCAGGGTAGGAATGCATACTTTTAGAATGCTTTGTCTGTCCCAGAAGCCTTTGCTCTAACTCATAAATTCACTTTTTTCCTTAAACAAGTTGGAACCTACAGAAATACTTTAATAAGGTGGGGTGCTTATTAAAAAATGTTGTGCCTTATCTGCTGTTATGACATGATCAGCCTCCGACATTAATTGTGTATCTCCTGAGTTTAAAGGGGTTTTTAATGTGGGTTTACTACTCATCTTTATCTTTGATAACAAGTAATTGTACACGTCACAGAGAGGTTTTTGCCCATTTAAGTTTTGAGTGTCATTTGTAACAGTCGCATAAATTAACGTATTTAAGAGGAATATTTGAGGATCTTCCATTTAAAAGAATTTATATGACACTTGAGAATGTTACAGTGTTATAAGTTTTAAAAGACTCAGTGGTGGTCATGAAAGTTGAGTAACTAAGGAGTGTCTAACAACTCACTTGTTGAGTCAGCCAGATTTGAAACTGGACTGTGGGGGAGGGATGGGTCTTTACCTTGTCATCACTGTCGGAGGAAAAAGGCAATGGATCTGACCAAAAGAACAAAGAAATGGTGCTTCACAATCCCATTTGAGAAAAATACAATTGTTATGTAAGTATTGAGCATTGTTATAACTATGTAAAACATAATTAATAATTCAGAGTCTTTCTCAAGTAGAATGCCCACACTTACTTGTTGTTACATGCTGTTGAGTTGGATGGAACTGGCTCAGAGCTGACCCTTCAGCAGGTTGTCAGATGCTGTAAATCACACAGGAGAAGATTGCTCATCTTCCTTCCACATAGTAGCTGGTGGATTCAGATCACCTGCTTAGAAGTTGACAGTGTAACTCCTTACCTGCTAGGCCACCAGAGCCCCTTACATATTACTTGTAGATTACAAAATTATTATTCTCTCACAGTGTGTAGAACTGCTGAAAGCATGTAGGAAGTAAGTTGAACAAAACCCAAATTCTGTTTTTATAAGTCAACAATGTTAAGCAACAAATGTAGGGGGAAAATCAACATCATATAGTATGTCCTAACTGACCACCAGCTTTGTTAACACAGACTGTTTATGTAAAGAACAAAGATTTGGGCAAATGTCCATCTCTAATATATGGCTTAGGAATTGGCAAGTTTAAGGAAGAAAAGGAATAGCCTAAGAATCAAGACTGCCTGGTTCAACATCTTCCACTTGCATAGTGTGTCATTTGTGGAAATTATTTAACATCTCTGGACCTTGATTTTCTGTTCTGCAAAAAAAAGAGCAAGATGGATTTCGTGGCATCAAAGATTTCTCTTGGCATTGACTTTCTGAGCTATTGTACAAATGAAAAATGGGTCTGGTGTTCAACGTCATGCACTCTATTATCCAGAATAATTGCTATTCTTGTTAAGTACTGTCAAGTTGACAACAATGCATGGAAACCTTATGAAGAACACCTGAGAGAACCTTGCCCTGTCCCGTGCCAGCCAACCTCACGATAGTAGATATTGCAAAACAAATTGCAGCTTACTTTAGCAAATATTGTAGGTTTTCCATTACATGATTGATTGTCAAGCACAGTGTAACATTCCATGACAAGCAAGACCATCAAAGAGGTATCAATGTTGACATGACAGGTCAGGAGATTAAACTCTTTAAGTTCTAATGATTCAAACTGGCTTCTTTGAGTGCCACATGGGAAAGGTAACAGAAAGAAGTGATTTAGAGCCAGAACCAAGAACTGAGATACAAAGCTATATTTAGAAAATCTTGTTGTTTTGACATCAAGTTGTCTACTACCCATAGCAACCCTATTCTGCCCTGTCCTGAGCCAGTCTCACTAATTCCGATACCCCAGTATCAATCCATCAATCCAGTGTCTTCCTCTCCTGCACCCTCCCTTCATCTTCCAGAGTATGATGTCCTTCTCCAAGGACTGGTCTTTCCTGGCCTTGTACCCAAAGTGTGTGAGACAGAGCTTCAAAGTCCTAGCCTCCAAAGAGAAACTTAGTTTCACTCTCTCCAAAACAGACCTATTTGTTTTCTTGGCAGTCTATGAGATGTTCAAGATTCTTCTCCAATACCACAATTTGAAGGCATTGATGCATAGCAAATAATTATGAAGATCATGGCATGGATTAGATGCACCTTAGTCTCTAGACTGACATCGTTTCTTTTCAGTACACTGGAGAGGTCCCTAATAGCACGTTTTCACAGTGCAATTAATTTTTTTATATTTTGTCTGCTGGTATTAGGAGTAGTATTGACTGTGGAGTTGGACAAGCTGTATTATTTAGCAACCTCAATCTCTTCTCCATCTATCATGGTGCTGTCAATTGGCCCAGTGGTAAGAATCTTTGTCTTCTTGATGTTGAATTTCAATCCATACTGAAGACTATAGTCTTTGACATTCTGCAGCAAGTGCTTCAGGTACTCTTTGGTTTCAGCAAACAAGGTTGTGTCATTCTCATAACATGGGTAGTTGGTGAGTCCTCGACAACCCTGATGCTGGAAAGAGATGCAGCTACCGGAAATAATATTAACAAAAGCTGCTAATTCACTTAATTCAGTTCTATGTAAGAAAATCAAGGACAGTTATTCTATGATCAGTGTTACAAATTGAATTGTGTCCCCCAGGGAGTTAGCTGTCTTAATAAATTCTTACCTGCAAATAGGACTCTATTTGATGTATTAATGAAATAATACTGGAGTGTAGTGAGCCCTATCTAATTCTTTCTAAGTGGTATCATAAAAAGGGCAAACAGACTTAGACACACAGAGGAGACAGATGCCATATGAAGTCCTTCCTATAAGCAAATTATCATCAAAGATTGCTGAGAGAGAGAGCCCCACAGAATCTGTCAACACAACAACTGAGACTCTGATATGAAGATCTGCTCTCCAAAACTTGGAAAAAATAAAATTTTGTTCTTCAAACTCACCTCTTAATATTTTCTAAATGGTCGAACTAGGTAACTAAGTAGGTAAATAATTAAAAATGTGAAAAGATAACTTTTCCATTTTGTTTATTTCTTTTCTCCATTGATACTCATTCTTCAGTGTGATAATCTACTCTCTAAGTAAATTAGTAACTTCATTTGAATGTTGAATAACCTCTATTTATCAGGATGCAGCATTTTTTCCTTAGAAAATAGAGAATTGTATTTTTAATATATAGATTTGGAGGGAGATATAATCAAGGAAATGCAAGACACTGAAAAGGAGGTTACTGAACTCATAAAGGATATAGACACCTTAGAAGATGACATGGGTCCACGAAAAGGAAAATGTCAATAACAAAATGTATATTCTGCCTTTCTCCCATGGAGATGCCTTAGCAGATGCAAGGCATATCCCTATGAATTATATCACCAGAGCTCTTCTGAGAACTGTGGTGCTAATGTATATATCCTAGATACTTAATGAGATTGAGCATTATTTTACATCAAGATTTCTTCTAATATGAATTGTCTTATTATATCTTTGGCCTATTTTTATATATAGCTACATGTTTCATTATTAATTTTCAGAGAATCTTGGTAATCTACCAGTTAGGTTACAAATGTTTTACAGAATGTAGTTTTAACCTTTCATTTTTGAATCACATATTCCAATAAGATAATTTAAAAATGTGCTTTCCTTCTATTCTAGTTTATGTCTTATCTAAAATATACTTACTGTTCTTAAACACATAAAAAACTATATTCTTGTTAAAAATTTTGAAATTTTGTTTCTACAGTTGATTTCTGTAATTGAGACGTGTGTCTTTAAGAGAGAGAGAGAGAGAGAGAGAGAGAGAGAGAGAGAGAGAGAGAGAGAGAGAGGAGAGCTGTGAGGTATGGATACCATTTCTCCTGTTCTCCTGCATCTTTTGTTTTGTTTTTGTATTTTTAATATACTTATTTATTGTCATCAAGTTGGAACTGACTCTTAGCTGAAACCTCCTGCAGGTTTTCAGAGGTTATAAATCACACAGGAGGAGATTATCTTTCTCCTGCATAGCCAACCACTGGGATGTTCAAACCTCCAGAGACGTTCCTCTTTAGGTTA